GCGCCCCAACGTGGTTCCCCGCTGCCCATTAGCATGGTCATGCCCGGCCCCCAGCCCACCACACTGGCCCGCAGACCCGCAGCATCAGCACCACCGGGGAGTTTGTCAGAAATGCAGATTCTCAGGTCGCACCCCACACCGACCGGATCGGAGTCGCTGGGTATGGCGGCTGGCATCTGTATTCTAACAAGCCCTTCAGTGGACCCTTGAGCCCGCTAGACTGAGAAGCGCTGCCCCAGACCAACTGAATCTGAATTCCAGAGGTGCAAAGCCAGGCGTCTGTATATCCTAAGAGCACGATGAGGGTTGAGAGCCAGTGTCCTGAGATCTTACGCCGGGGCCCCAAGAGGACTGGGAAACACCACCTGGTCGGAGCCCTGAGGGTGGGAATGCTCCTCTCCACCCCCTGCCACCACAAAAGCCCAAGGCACTGCCGGCTGGCACCGGGGCCAACGCAGTCCCCTCCTAACTGGTCTCACTGCTGCCACTGTCCCAGTCTTTTAAAAAAGCAAATAAGGGAAAATTCAGAGGCCAAGCAATGCAGTTTCTTCAAAAAACAAATTGCAAGGAAAAAAGAGGGAGAGACAGAGGAGGGACCCAGAGGTTGAGAGAAACTTAGAAGCCACACCAACCAACCGGCACGTGTGGACCTGATTTGGCTCTTGATTCGAGCAAACAGGCTGCAAAATAAACATTTATGACAGTTATGAGACAATGGGGAAATTTGAACACTGCCTGGATAGTTGAAGGAATTTTTATTATTTTTTAGACATGATGATGTATGGTGGTTTTACTTTCTTAATCCCTTATCTGCCAGGGATACATACTGAAATATTTATGGATGGAATAAGAGGATGCCTGGGCTTCGCTTCAAATTAACACAGAAGAAGGGAAAGGGGGTGGTGGTGAGGCTGGGGTGGATGACCAGGGCGAACAGGGGATATATAAGCCTTCCTTATACTTTTTAATGTATACTCAAAATTCTTCATATAAAAATTAATGAAACAAAGGCAAATCAGATCAGTCTCTTCCCTCGACTCTCCTGTGCTCTTCTCTGAGTGGCTAGATCACCAGGGGCAGGTCTAGGAAGCTCACAGGGCTAAGGCGGGCACGGACCACGGCCACTGTCACAGCCCGCTTGCCCTGCCCTGGCTGCCCACTTGCTTAGGGAAAAGCCCAAATGTCTTCCCAGGTGGCCAGGCCCCCGCCTCCTTCTCCAGGCTTTTCCCTCTATTCCTCCAAAGCTCTGAGCTCCTTCCCCGCCTTGAGAACTTCATCCCACCTGCTCCTCTGCCTGGGCCTCTCTCCCTCCCCACTGACTCGCCCTTAGGCCCTCAGCCTAGACATCATTTCTCCAGAGACCTTCCCTGGCCAACGCCCTATGCATGAGCCATGCGTGAGCTGCCTCACAGCATCCTGTGTTTTTCCTTCAGAATGCTTGTCCCAGTTGTAACTGCGGATGGGTGTGTGTGTGGAACATTCTCCCCCAGCTCTGCAAGGGCAGGGCCGTTTCTGCCTCCCGCAGGGCTCCAGGGTTCTCTGGAGTGCTCACCCTACAGGTGAACTACCACTGCCCGAAGGGCATGGCACCACCTCCATGCCCGGCCGGCCCTCTGGGTCTTCACCCTGACCTAGGAAGCTGAGGGCAGCAGACAGGAGGAGGGCTGGGGCCTGAGCCCCACAGCCAGAGGTGGGCCTGCACCCTGCCTACCCCTCATCCAGACACAATGTGAGGGCAACCCAGAATGTCTCTCGTCTAGAACATGGGCTGTCATTCCCATAGCCATCTCCCCATCACCCACGTCATGCCCTCAGCCCCCACCTCCCTGCCGGTCCCATCTAATCCCAGCTTCCCAGAACCTAAGCACCGCCCGCCCCAGCCTGGTTCCAGGCCTGAGGCACGAGGGGACATGAGTTTGGACATGCACCTTGGGGGAGAGGACCACAGCGGAGCCTCCGCTGATGCTGAGGATGGGCACATGGGTCTGGGAGGAGATGAAGTCAAGGATCTGGGCCACCGCCTCGGTGCCCACGTTGTCCTCAAAGACAATGCCGTGGACGCGGGCAGCACCCAGGAGGCCGCAGATCTGGGTGAGGAGGCTGCTGGGGTTGGTGTTGTTGACCCCCACTGTGAGTGGCTGGATCTCCAGGGGCAGGTCCAGGAAGCTCTGGGGGGTGAGGCGGGCACGGACCTGGGCCTGGGGCGGCCCCGAGCTGCCAAACACCACGGCCACCGTCATGCCCTGCTCGC